GAATGTACAAATGTGTTTTACACAATTGATGTATGTATGGATTGAGATAAGAGTTGCATGTGCCCCTAATAAAATGATTTTTTAAAAATATTTGTTTTGTTGTTCCATCAGGATCTCAATTCAGGTGACTATGCCTATGAGTGACATTTTTATTATGTAGGAAGGAGTGCAATTGATAAGGTTTTTGTCATCAACCTGTTATCTTATTATTATACATTATATTATATTATTTCACTTTTCCCTCAACAGAATGCAGCCTAAGTTTCTCATATTTTCCTAATTTCTCCCAACAATAGTAAAGAGTGGTATGTGTAAAGGTAGAAAGAGGGAAGAAGATGCTGAGGAAAAAAAAAATCAGAGTATCATGCCAGATCACCAGCTACTTTCCTCAGGTCAAAATTTTGCCTCTGGCATATAAAGTGCAATTACAATAAATATGATCATGATTGAAAGTGCACAATTGTTTCCATTTCTCCAGACATATGCTACACATGCAAATATAAATACCATGTTAATATATGAGTAACTGCATAGTAAAATCTCAAATCTTGACAATTGCAGGGTTTGATGGAATATCTAGAAACCACTGGTATTTCACATTTACTTCTGTGTTTTCAAACAATTCTGTTCAAATGTCACATCTGGAAGGATCGTTGTTTGAAATTAAATTGTTTGGGGAAAGTCACTGGAATTTTCTAATTTACACAGTCTACTGGCCAACTGTTAACGTGTCATTTATGATCTAGAGTTTATTTTACTTCTTTTAACAATAAGAAAATTGTGGTTATTTGTTTGAAGATATTGTTCATACTACTTTCACATACTTGATTTTTTAAAGTACTATTGATATTTTGAATATATGTTTTACATTTTACTTACGTACCTGCTCATCCTGAGATTTAGGACTGGAAAATGCCTGTCAAAGAGCTCATTCTAATTTATAATCTATGTTTCTAAAAGGTTTTCACTTCATCACTGGTTTCTTTCTTCTTTATCACATTTGCAATCAAACTGTTTTCTAAGATCTTTTAGAAAGAGCCTGCTTGGAAAATAAAGTACTTGGGATATTGATAGAATCTTTCATGAAATTCTTTAAGGAAAGACACGATATATTTCTTGATGAAATTTGATGGAGGACATCTCTAGGTTTCTGTTCCTGTGCCCATCCTCATGAACAGATAGCTTCCGGGTCTAAGGGTAAAATGAGTTCCCAAGGTTACAATAGTATAAGATAGCAAGAAGAGAAACCTGCAAATGAAAAGGCCATTTCCCAGAGATTCAGACCCTAAGAGACCAGTAAAATTTACCCCCAATTGTTCATTTGTCTTCTATTGAGAATAAAAAGGAAGGCAGGGACAATTTGTGATCTTTAACATGCAAATTCAATTAATTTCAGTGACTTAATTTGTCAATGATAAAAGGGATCCAAGCTCATGGAGACAAACAAGGAAAGATATTTCCCAGTGAAAGAGAAGAAGCCTACCATTTTAAGACCAACAATAAAGTTTTCTTCTTATCAAAGTTGTTAACCTGAACCCTCCCTTTCCTTGTTCCTAACTCTCTGCCACCAATTTCCTGGAGCTTTCTTTAATGCACCCGTGATGCATTTATGTTTTATAATTTTATAATTAAACAACGTAGCTTCTTATAGTTTTATAATTAAGCAAAGGTAGCCTGGGATGTGAGAGCTGCCTAGGGACTTGATAGTATTTCCAATATACCATAACCAATATTGGAAACTTGCTAATTTCTCTGATTTATTATGCCCTTCTTCAATTTGTAAAACATTTCTTTATGTTGTTCAACAACAACAGTTTTACTAAAAATACTTGAAAAAGACAATGGAGGCAATGAAAATTACCCAATATAAAAGGAACATGAAAGAGAGAATTCTAGGTACATTCTCTTAGTGATTCACCGACTCATAAAGCTGAACTTGTATCTCAAATTTCACCAGAGCAATCACTTCCACCAACTTCAACCACTCCAAGATTGCGTTATGCTGCTTTTGGTGGGTTCCTAACAATTTGGGGTATAATTTTAGGTATTGATCTTGGAACTTGGGTTTCTAAGAATCATGTACATGCATTCATTCTACAAAATTTACTAATCATCCCATACTAGAAAGTGTGGATGTGTGCATGCAGTGGATTAAATCATGTCCCTCCCCCTAAAATGTGTCAACTTGGCTGTGTTATATAATTGTTCTACTTAGGTGTATTGTGTAATTATTCTGTGTGTTGTAAATCCTAACCTCTGTGATGTCAAAGAGGCAGAGTTAGTGGTAGTTATATTAGTGATGCATGAAGAGATCTACAGGATTAGGGTTGTTAAAGCCATACATTGGTGGAATTTTTGTTACAGCAGCACTAAGTGACTAAGACAATGTCCTTGGGGGTTGGTAACATGTACAGAGGGACATTGGTGGCATAATTATTTAAGTACTCAACTGCAAACCAAACAGTTGTGATTTTGAACCCACCACCTTTTCCAAAGGCAATCTCATGCCTTAATGATTTACACCCTAGGAAATCCTATGGGGAGACTATACTTCATCATACAGAGCTGCTCTGAGTATAAATCAACTCAACATCAAATGATAACAACAGAGAGAATGTAGAGGTGAGACAGGTTAATGTAGAGGTGAGAGATGTAGATATAGAGGTGAGACAGGTTCATAGGGACATAGGAAAGCAAATAAGCTATAGGAATTGCTATTAATTCCTATTAATAACATCTTATTGTTCATTTTGGGCCTAAATAGTAGTTATTAAGTTTGTAATCTATGATTCCTTTCTCTTGCACAGGTTCAATCAGTATTTTTTTTCTAGACAATCAAAAAACCACATATTGTATCCCCAGTAAAAAACAATCTACTGTTTCTTAGGTCTTTAGGCTCTGAAGGATGTAGCTGTATCTGTCCTTACTGATATGTCCTAAGTAATTCTTAGGTGAAGCTAATTAATTTTTTAAAAGCATATTATGCAGTAATTTCTACAGTTATGTACTACCCCTCAAACTTTCCTTTTAGGAAACTAACCTCCCTCTTCCTCCTGCTAACACACACACACACACACACACACACACACGCATTACACTGAAGAGAATCTCTGGGTTGAACCCCAAAGTGCATAAGATCGCTGGTCCTGTTACCTTAGAGCTGCTTGTTGTACTACTCAGCGCCATGTGGTCCTGGAATGCCTGCCTGATATGCAGGCATGGTTGGCCCCAAGGAAAGATGAAGAAATGGCACAGGGAGTTAGACATCATTAGGCCAGCTGTCCAGCATCATCAAGGAGCAGTTTGTGAGGTCAAGGCTGGCTTTCATGACATCAGCAAAGCTGAAAAAGTGAAACCGGACCACTAAGGGGCAGAACCCTAGGAAAGATCCCATTGCGTGTCTGTCTACCACCTCCCAAAGGCGGCAAGCCAGGCTGTGTTTGGAGATCACAGAGGTGCTCATCTTATCTTGACTGACTCTTGGCTTTAGAAGCTGGGTTGAATTGAAGGCATAAACAAACAAAGGACAGCGATGGCTTTTAAAAATAACTCTTTGCTCCCTGCCTCTTTATACTTCTTTCTCTTTTTGGTTAATAGGCTTAACGCTTGCATGAAACTTCACCACGGTGTGTGTGTGTGTGTGTGTGTGTGTGTGTGTGTGTGTGTGTGTGTGTGTGTAGAAAGTATAAAATGTAAGCTAACAAATTGTATGAAATTTCACCGCGGGGTGTGTGTGTGTGTGTGTGTGTGTGTGTGTAGAAAGTATAAAATGTAAGCTAACAAATTGTATCTCTTCATCTGCCCACCAACTTCCCATCAGCCCTACAAACTTTCCTCCACCTGTCTTGGACACCCTGGACTAAAGGGAGTTCACCACCCTTTCCTGTGCCTCTTCTTCCTGTCGACTTCGCATTCTCCCTTTTCACCGTTCCTGAATAGTCAACCTTCCTCTTTCACGGGGTCACGAGTGCCAGCCTTCAAATCTAGTCTAGAAGCTCTCAGAGTTCTAGAAACCTCTCTCAATCCAGCAGCTCTTATTTTCAGGCAACATGTTATTTCTCTCCTAGTCTTCTAAGCCAACCTTCTCAAAACAAATTCTCACTTCACACTGTCACCTGTGCACATACTATTCCTTCCCTACTACTACACTAAATGCATCCTCTCCAAGATTAGTAAGTAAAATTCACAAAGGCAAATCTAAAAGACGCTTTACACCATCATCTTACTCAACCTCGTAAGTGTTTTCCATCCTATACAACTTGCCATCTTTTCTAATCTCAGCTTCCTCTGTACAATACTCTTCAGACATTTCTCCCTGTCTCCAACCGCTCATTCTCTCCTACCTTGTCTATGAGAGTTTTAATGCTGCAGCGCTAGGGCTTTTTGGTTTTTTTTAATTCTATGTTCATTCCAATGACTTCAATTTTATATTAATTATGCACAATGTTTATCCCTGCCCTTCAATTTTTGGAGTCTTCTCCTCTGGATTCCAGATGCACAACCCCAGCTTAATGTAATCACTTGGAGTCCCTGCCTTGTGCAAAGGGTTAGCACACTCAGTTGCTCATCGAAAAGCTTGGGGTTCGAATCCACACAGAGTTGTCGGGGGGGTGGGTGGGGGGGAGGCTTGAAGCTCTACTTCTAAAAACTTAGCTAGTGAAAATCCTGTAAAGCACAGTTCCACCCTGATGCATAAGGTGTTGGCGTGGGTTGGAATAAGCTCAATGGTAAAAACAAACAAAGCAATTTATCCATTTAGCTATTGCTCCAGCATTTTTTAAATTATCAGGACTGGAAGTGTTTCATTCGGTTGTACTTATGGTAGTTATGCGTCTAAACTGACTTGCTGGTACCTAATAATCACAGCAAAATGAAACCTTTGCATTGTCTTCTCCAAAGCCTGCCCTTCTTCATGTGCTCTTCATCTTAGAAAATGGCAAAATCTACAGTGGTCATGTGTGGGGCTGAGATCTGCCTGGTAGGCAGTTTGAAATCACCAGCAACTTCATGGGAAAAATACTGGGATTTCTACTTGGGTAAACAATGACAGAAACCCATGGGGGGGTCACTGTAAGTCAACATTGACTCGATGGCAGTGAGTTTTTGTTTTGGTTTGGTTTGATTTATGCAATTGCTCAAGTGAGAAATTAAGAAGTCATCCATGGCCATTTTACTCACTCCTCCACATCCTCTCATGAAGCTCTGCCCAATGTACCTTCTCTCTGTGTGTGTGTGACCACTCTAAACGAAGCCATCGTTTTCTCTCAATGGGGTTCCTGTAGTAATCACATGATGATGTCTGCAGAACCCCTAAAGGAAGGAACTATGCAGCATTTACATCTTCATCTTGAGTGCCTGTAGTTCTGCCCATGTGTGGACTTGTTTTACAAAGACCTTTGCATAAGCGCCTTCACACATGCTGCCCTTGGCTGGAATGCCACCTCTCCACCATCTTTCCTTCTGACTAGTGCCTTCACACACTATTTCAGCCAAGATGCCACTTCCTCTCAACATTTTCTTTAACCAAGATCTTGAAAGCCAACCTTCTATCCTTATTCACTATGATAACCTGAGCTGAAATGATATCTGCAGGGGCTTCAAAAAGTTCATGGAATGGAGTATGAGTGCATAGCTGGCCATGGCATGCCAAACCTTGAAGGTAATGTAACCACATGGGGAAACTCATGAACAGAGAGGTCTACATGGCTGGTCCCAGTCAGAGCCAAACTGACACCACCACCACCACCACCATCCCTAAAAATATGTGCTCCAGAGGACAACACTGACCCTACAGGTTGGGGAGAGGGCACAGCATGCCATGTTCATACAAAAGCAAACTAAAATGGAAAAAGAGAGAGTGAGGGACTGGACCCCATACTGGCAAACCAAGCCCTGAGAATGACGTCCCTGCCCAGGGCTGCAAAGACACAGAAAGGACTGTAAGGCTGACAGTAACTAGAGACATGATGTCCCCTCACTGGAGCAGGCCACGTCAGAGGACAATACTTGGGACACATGGCAGGGAGTGTGTCTGGTCTGACCAACCCACAGTGGGGTGAACCAAGAAGGGAACATAACAAACTAGCAACTGGAGCAAAGCAAAGCCACAAAACCTTCAGGCTAGGAGGGGAAGTTCCTGGAAACCCCTCCCCACTTCCAAAAAAAACCAAAAACAGTCGGGAGATAATCATAAAGGTGTCGACCAAATCAGCTAACAGACACCAGAAGACCAAAGACAAACAAGCAGAAAAACATTGTGGAGAATGAGGGGTGCTGGAGCACAGACCCCAAACCCATCTGTAGCCAATAGAACATCCCCTCAGAAGGGTCACAAGGAAGGGACGAGTCAACTAGGGTGCAGTATAGCACCAATGAAACACACAATATTTCTCTGGTTCTTTGAGGCTTCCTCACCCACCCACCCCCAATATCACGACCTCAATCCTGTCTTTCAGTTCTAGCTAGACTAGAGCATGTACCCTGGTACATATAAGAGCTCACAACACAGGGAATCCAGGTCAGATAAACCCCTCGGGAACAGAATTAGGAGTAGCCATACCGGGAGAGTAAGGAGAAGGTGGGGGGAGTAGAGGAGGAAGGGGGAACTGATTGCAAAAATGGACACATAACCCCACCCCCAGGGGGACGAACAACAGAAATGTGGGTGAAGGGAGACAGAGGTCTGTTTAAGACATGTAAACAATACTACTTTATAAGTTATCAAGGGGTCATGAGAGTAGGAAGTGTGGAAGGAGGTGGGGGAAAGAAGCTGTTACCAAGGGCTCAGAAATGTTTATAAAATGAAGTTGGCAACATAAGTACAAATATGCTTGAAACAATTGGTGTATAGAATGTTATAAGAGCTGTAAGAACCCCCAATAAAATGATTTTTTTAAAGTTCATGGAAAAAAATGAATGAAAAGATAAAAGAACTTTTCCATGGACGTTTTGAAGTGCTCTCATATTTATTCCTGTAAGTTTCTTCATAGGGCTATACTCCATGGGATCAAGAATCCTAGCTACATACTTTTCATGATCATGTATTTGGTACTTAGTCCTGTGCTTGGTAATACCCACAGCTTGACTCACTAGTCATAATCCTTGGTTGAATCATGTCCATGCCGCCGGCACCCCTCACGCCCCAAAGTGACATAGAGAAACAGAGGTCACTGTAATGAAACAGTAGGTTCTGCACCTACCACCACACCCACGGGGATTTTGGCAAATTTCTTGTTGGAATCAAAGTCTCCCCATTTTGGAAGCTAAGGGAAAAAATATCTATTATGGGTTGAATCACCTCCCCTCAAAAGATATGTTGAAGTTCTAATTCCTGCGCCTTATTGACCTTATTGTAAAATAAGATTTTTTTTCAGGTACAGGTAAGTTTAATGAGGTTATTAGGGTGGACCCTAATATGACATGACTGGACTGGTATCCTTACAAGAAGAAGAGGGGAGACGTAGACGCATAGAACAAGCACCGCGTGACAACAGAGGCAGATAATGAAGGAAACACTGACGAATCACACATCATTCCTCTAGTTCCTGAATGTTTCCTCCGCCCCACCCCCACCCCCCACTACCATGACCCAGTTCTAGCTTACAAATCTAACTCGACTGGAGAACACACATTGGTACAGATAAGAGCTCTTGACACATGGAATTCAGGACAGATAAAGCCCTCAGGAACAGTAATGACACTAGCGATATCATGAGGGTAGGGGGATGGTCAGGGAGGGGGAGGAGGAGAAAGGGAGAACCCATCACAAGGTTGGATATATAGCCCCCACCCCCACACAAAGGGGACAAATAACAGAAATGTGGGGGAAGAGAGACAACGAAGATACGAAGTAACAATATATAATGGATCGAGGATACATGAGGGTGGGAGGGTATTGGAGGGGGTGGGGAGAGGAGCTTCTACCCAGAGCTCAAGTAGAAAATGTTTTGGAAATGACTATGGCAACCTATGTACATATATGCTCGATACAACTGATGTATGCATGATGAGCACCCAATAAAATGATTTTTAAAAGAGAAGAAGAAAGAAATGCAGCTGCCAGCCAGAGGATGCTCAGGATTGCTGGTGACTGAGCCAACGAGCAGTGTTTCCCTGAGACCCTCCAGACGGAAGCGACCCTGCTGACACCATGATTTCCGGTTTCTAGCCTCTATTACCAAAGAGAAAACAACTTTCTACCCTTATGTTGTCC